GGTCTTCTTTTTCTCTCTTCCATTATTTCCCATGGCATAGTGAGACCCAATGATCAACTTCCTTCCTCCTGGCTCAGTGGGGTCTGCTTACCCACCTCATTCTGCAGGGTTCAGATGACTGAGTTCCGTTTAGATGACATTCCTGTCATCTGCACCTACTGGTTCTAAGGCAGACTGCAACCCAGCCACTCAATCAGATTCTTAGTAGTTACCATGCCTTCTAGAAACTGGTCTGTGTGTATCCTGCCCTATTCAGAGTTAATTTTATTACCCAATGTTTATTGATCCATTTTATGTGCCAGGCACTAGTCATTGTTTCACAGACTTCAGCCTCAGAACAGCGCTGGGATTCTGATCATATCACTCTACCTACCTTACAGATGTATAAACTGAGGCTGAGATTGAATGACTTGTTCAGCCTAGGATGTTTCATAACTGAGGCTAGAATACATGTTGGCCTGATCCCAGAAACAAGAGTTTTAACTACTTCACCAAATTACCTCCCAAGATCTGCCCCATCTTTCATCTCATTGGCTCATATTCCTGACTCTTTGTCTGCACTTCCTCTGCTGCTACCCTTAGTTACAGCCTATGCAACAGACACAGTGAAGTTGACGGGCCTCTGGTTTGGTCTTCTCTCCTTTGGACCCTCTCCTTACTTTTGGGTGTTCCCTGCTGGACATATGCTACACTGTGGTAGACAGTAACTGACTTCAGTACCACTGATATGACTTTAAATCCTAGCATCTTCACTCACCCGTTTCTGTGATTTTGGTTTAACCCACTTAACCTCCCTAAATTCAAGTTTCCTCCTGCAAAAAATTAGAATTATGATAGCATCTATGTCAAAAGAGTTTTCTTTTTGAATGTTTAATAATAAAGTTCAAATCTCTGGCACAGTGCCTGGCACATGGCAAAGGTTCAGTCAGTGCAAGGTTCATCATTCTGCCCAAAAGGAAACCTCCATCATGCTTCCTCCTTGCCGAATGCCACTATCCACAAGGGGCACTCAATCTCTCCACATCTAGTGCTAACTTTCTGTTTCATCTGATTGCCTTGTCTTCTAACTCTCTGGTCTACCTCATGGTCTCTTTCACTTCCTGACCTCATAGTGGCGATGTAGGGAAACAAGCAAGTGGGATAGAGTCAGCTAGTACTGCGTTTGCAGCTCAGATTTGCCCTCCCCAGTTCTTTCAGCTTGGGCAGGTTCTTTAAACCCTCTGGGTCTCAGTTTCCTCATCCAGAACATGAAGATAAGGTTGTAGTGAGGATCTCATACAGAAAAAATCATCCCAAGAGGTGCTTGATCCTCTTATGTATGTTATTAAAGAAATTCCTTTTCCTGCCAGTCTCCCCACCTGGCCTGCTGTCCTCCCTTCTGTCTTTCTCAGTCCTGGGGAGCCCTCCTGCTCATCCATGCTCCTCCACTTTCTTTTGGATTTGTCTTGTGGAATTCCTGTAGAGCTTTATAACTGAAAGAACACAGACCTTTGTTTTGTTCAGCTCTTTTTGGTTTTCACAGTTCTTTCCATAAATCAGTACAATTAATTTGTACAACTCTAGCAGGTAGTCCCATCTTGTAAGTATTAACCCTGTTGTTAAAAAGAATGTGGTGCTGGCCATGCAGCTGGGACTATTTTTGCATAGCCTGCCTGAGGCCCTGGATTCAAGCCCCAGCACTGTGTTAGGGGCAGGGAGCTGAAGCCCTGCTTGCAGGATGCAGGACTGATTCTTGGGCACAAGGGGAGGCCTGGAACCAAGTCTTCTGGTCTTAAGTCAGCCTGCCCCTCCCCCAACCATTTTGCCCCTGAGGGACTGCCACTCACCTGTCTTAATATCTATTCCAGTGTTACAGTTATTTTTCCACTGGTCCCTACATTGTCCCCTCTAGGGAAGATGTAGTCTTAAGGCTCCCCCTCGTCAAGTGCTTCGCACATGTCTGTCTTTTGGCTGATGCCATTAAATGTGTTGAAATATGAATTAATGTGTTCTGTGGAAAGTCGTTGCAGGAAACTAACTGTTGTATTGGCTAAGAAGGCTGAACTGGAACAATGAAATTGTATTCCAGAGTAAGAGCCTTAAAGACAGCTCCTACTGGTATACCTGCTTCTTTGTACTCATGCCTTAGACTTTGATTCCTTGGATTTAGAGAATTTGGAGTTAGCCATTTCATCCCCATGTTCTGCATTCTTGTCTGTTACATCCCTGATGTGCTGGATTGTAATTAAGCTGCTTATCCAGCTGTTTCCCCCAACTCCAGCCTGTGAGTCCTTCAGGGCAGATGCCATATCCTATTCCGGTCAGTGTCTATGACCTGCTACTGTGCTTGGCACATAGCTGATGGAACTTGAACAAGTAACCCAGAGATAGCCAGTTGGGTTCCCCTTGTAGCCTCCATGGCTGTGCTTGTCTCTATTCTCTTAATATGGCTCATACTGTACATATTCTTATCTCTTCTACTGAATTAAGGTCAAGTTTCATGTTTCGTTCATTTCTGAAAGCCTTCCTAACAATGATGAAAAAAAAGAAGCCAACATTACTGAGTGCCTATTTTGTGCCAGTAGGGATTTCACATATATTATCTCATTTTAAAAATAATTTAATTTAATTCTCATAATAGGCCAATCAGCTTGGCATTATCATCCCTGAATTACAAAAGAGAGGGCTGAAATTCAGAGAAAAAAACATAATTGAATTTGACCAAATTTATACGGTTAACAAGTGACAATGCTAGGACTTGCATCCCTGTCTGCTGCTCTAAGAACAATTCCTCCCTTTTATCATGTTGTTTTTTGTTTAGTTTGGTTTTGAGGTACTGGGAGTAGCACCCAGGGTCTCACATATGCTAGGCACATGCTCTACTGTCTTTTATTTTTTAAAAGCATACAGGATAGCTGGGTTCTTTAACCTAGCAGATGTCAGGAACGCTGCTGAACTGAGATTTAAATTTAATCTCATTCAGTCAAATCTATGCACGTCTCCTCCCTGATGCATCAGGCACATGTACTGCCACCTTCCCAACTGGCTGCCTGGAAATGCTTCTGGAAACAGGTGCTGAGTGTCCACAGTGCAACCAGGTACAGCACTGGAGAGAGACACCCCACAGTCTAGGGGAACAGCAGACTGTGACCGGCATGGGTAATGTGATCCGGCAGCAGGGAGGCAGGAGACGCACGCTTAGTCAGCCCCAGGTGGTCTTATGAGGATTCTGAGTAAATCGTGAAGGAGGACTGAAAGCTGGCCAACCCAAGCAAGAGAAAGGCGCCATGGGAACAGCACATGCTGAGTCACTGAAGTTCAGAATTGCCGCAGGACAGCCTGGAGCAAGGAGGTATTTCAGTGAAATGGCACGGGGGTACAGGGGGTGCCACAACTAGTTGCCTTGTGTTCACATCATGAACCAAAGGTCACAACAAGCTACCAGGCCTTGCCCCTACACAAGTATGCTCACAGCTTGAGTTGACAGCTAAGACATTCTACAGGCCAGGAAATGAGCTAGAGAAATAGCTGGCAGCGTTTCCATCTATCTTTAGGGGTATGAGACATAAATGTGGAGTTTTCATTTGCCTGATGTGAAGGAAATAATGAGTAAGCAGTTGGGCAGACACACGTCGTGACGCCATCTGCCTGGGTTGGGATGTGCTGTCCTCGGTAGGCCAGGAGAGTGCAGCCTGCCTCCGTACCCATACTCTTGCTGTACCCCTGGAGCAGAAGGCCCAGGTGTAGCAATGGCAGCTGTGTAAAAGGACAAAGCCTTATTTGGAATTCCTTCTGTAGGTGGTGGGATGGAGGGAGGCATTCTATACACACTGGGTCACAGGTGGATAAACCAAAACTGTCAGTTGGGTTCACCCAGTTTACATTTTCCCCTCTGCTGTACTTGAAAGTGTTTTTTTTTTTTTTTGAGACTTTGTAAAACTAAAGAATGGCTGAAAATTGAGTAAATCCTATGATGAACTGTACATGGCTTAGTCAACAAGAAACATGGATGCATCTGCATTCGTTGCACGTAAAAACAAGTTCAGTATGGTGCTGGGGTTGACTTTGACAAAATCCTCAAGTCAAGTCATACCTTGCTAGTGCCTGGGTCTGACACTGATTCTCCACTCTCTCAGGTTGCACACTAATTCCCTCCTCACATCCACTACTGCCACCATCCCCTATATCATCACCAAACTGCCATGGACTGGTCACTTCCACACATCCAAGCTGGCTATACCACACTTAAAGTACAGCTAGGCTGCCTGCCCCTCACCCTGGATTGTACATAAAAGTCAGCTGAAGAGAACCATGTTTAGTGCTGAGAATTACCTGAGCCTGTCCCCACCACACCCCTTAGCTTTTGCTCTTTGCTTACCTCCCAGCTCTCCACTCCAACTTTGCTTGCTCTCATGCATTCTTCACACTGCTGACTGGGTGATTTATCTGAAATTCAAATGAAATCATGCCATTCCCCTGCTCAGAACCCTTCAGTGATTTTTCAGATCCTTCCAAATGACATCCAAACTCTTGAAGCATTTAGAGCAAGGCCACTCATGAGCGGGCTCCTTCTACCTCCCTGGCATCATCTCCTAACTCTCCCATTGACAGCTTATGACACAGCAATGCAGAATTACTGACAACTCACCACACATACGGTATTATTTAATGTTTCTGGGTCTGCCAGAGATGGCATTCCTTCCAAGTTCTACCTTACACATCTGATCAGCTTTTCAAAATTCTCTCAGTTGTCTACTCCTCCAAGACCCTTCCAGACAGAAGGCATGCATAGGCTGCCTCTGTGCCTTGTTCAGGCATCTGCTGTTGACAAGGCTGCACGTTTCTCAGGCTTATGGTTAATAGAGACTCTGCCTTATCCCTGGATAATGCTGGGTGTAAGACAGAATAGCTTCTTACTCCTGGGTGAATCATCGTCCAGTTACCCCTCCTCTCCATTATGTAAGGAGCTTACATTTCAGCCACAGCACCACTGATATCTGCCTCTTGATTGACTTTCCCAGGTCGAGCCAATCACTGGTCTGCAATCATTGGTGGATCCCACTCCAAGAATTACGTGCTGTGGGAATATGGCGGATATGCCAGTGAAGGCGTCAAGCAGGTTGCAGAATTGGGGTCGCCAGTGAAAATGGAGGAAGAAATTCGACAACAGGTAAGAACAAAATCAGATAATAACCAAAACTCAGAGACACCAGCAAAAGCATCAAACAAGTTTCAGAACCGGTGAAAATGGAGGGTGAAATTCAACAACAGGAATTAACAGTCACAGATCAGCTAAAATTCAGAAATGCAGTTAAAGCAACCTTCCAGTTTCTTTTCCAGAAGCTTGAAACTTTCAGGGCAGTGTGGTGGGAAAAGAATCTGTTTGCTGAGTTTGGGGGCCTTGTGCTAAGTAGAGCATGGGACACAAATGCCCATTGTGATGTCTCAAATTTTTCCTGACTGGATTTGTGTGTTCTTTGGCTTATGCTAAACGCTGCTGCTGTTGTCCTATTGTTGGAATGCCATGTCTCTGGTCTCCTGGGAGTTGCCGCAGTGATTTGTGGCTTTCTTACTACAGTTCTTGGAGGTGGAGAGGGATACTCAAGCTGTCTAAGGCAAATTGCCGCTTCCAAAAGTAACCATTTGTGTATTGGCACACGCTTTTTGCAGCTATGTCTTGAGGTGTTTGATAAATTAGCCGGTCATTACTCACCATCACCATGTCCTGAAGCGTCCTCTGTGCACCGTGTCGTGGGGCCCAGGAGGCTTCCCATTGTCTAAGCCCCACGATCTGTTTGGCTGGCAGTGTCTTTGTCCCTCATCAAAAGCCTGATCTGACTGGTACCAGAGAGGCTACTAAGAGGATCTTGGAAGAAGAGCTGCAGTTTTTCAGTGGTGGTCTGCTGTAGAGAGGCCCCCATCCGGCATCCACTGTCACTATGCACAAAAGCCCCTCTGGCCTGAGAGAGCTTGGGGCAATCACCCCTCATGGCCCACTAGGTGTTCTGGAGAAAGGAGGAAGGAAGAAAACTGTGCTTGCAGTGCAGTCCTGTCACAGCCCTCCTTATGCTCCTGTCCCACATCTCCTGAGATGATACAGGAGGCCCCCGTGTCCTGCTGTGTGCGCTCAGGAACCTGAGCAGTGTGACAGGGTGAGCATAGCCAAGACTACCAGCTCTTCCTTTTGGAGCTGCCATCTGGATTCCAAGCTCCCACAGATCTTACCAAAGCGAGGGAGGCAGCAAAGGTAGTGCTCTATTATAATCTGCTGAGGAATCCTTTTGGGATCAGAGTTGAAAAAAATGGCCAAGAACAAACTTATGTTTTTTATTTGATTTTTTTTTCCATGAAAGAGACTTTAAAAGTTTGACCAGATGTTTTAAGATTATGTGCTTTTCATCACAGGGTTAGCCATCTAACTACTCTGTTCCCCTGACACTGGCTGCCATGCCTCACCTATGACGTCACTTCCTCCAGCCACAGAAAAGTCATGGGGGCTCCATGTTGGTGCTGGTCAGTCTGGCCTGTCTGGGATCCTCAGGGTTCACATTTCTGATTCTCAAGCATGGAACTGTAACCCAAAGGCCTGGCTCTGTGCTGTGGGATGTTGAAAGCCATTTACTACAAATAGTAGTTGAAAAATTAAAGTTTGCTAATAAATTAGATCAAGATCCTGGGCATCGTCATAATAACACCAGTGTCACTTGTTGGCCTTCATGAGGGGTCTCTAGAGAGGAGAGAAGCATGCAAGAATTACATAAAATTAGGACTACTATACCAATGAGGATTAACTGTCGCTTAAACAACAGTATAATGGTTGACAACTTATGGAGGGGACCCCAGCCTTAGAATGTCCCTCTTAGGAAAATTTTCTTTGCTTGGTATGATCCTAACCAGAATGCCTGGGGTTGCACTAGTGTCTGCCTATCCCAGCTGGCTGATGTTCCTGATATAAAGTCAGCATAATAAGCTTAATCATGGGTTCTGCATAGGGGAAGGAGCATGTATTAGTGTCTATCACCGCTCTTCTGGCCCCCTAGGTGCTGGACTTTTATTGTTAGTTCCCCTCGTGTTAGAGCTGAGAGGGCTGTAGTATTATTATCCGAGTTCTGCAGATAAGGAAACCAGGGCACGGTCACAGAAAATTCCAGGACTTCAGCCCAAGTTTGTCCGGCTCTAAAACCCATATACAGTGCAGTATCCTCCCTGCAGATGTAGAATCTGCAGGGCACAGTGCAAACCTGGAGCCCTTTGTTCAGTACTTGTAAAAAATTTCAACATGGTGAGGCTGTGAATTTCACAGCATGAGGCCCCTGAGACCGTGCAGGTCACCCTGCCCACAAATCTAGCTATGCTCATGCTCCCGCCCTGCCCCACACAGCTGCCCTTTGGAGACCTTCTTCCCACCAGCCTCGCAATGGGTCCCCTGCAAGCAGCGCTTCCCAGCTCCTACAAATGTCAGTGAGGGAGAGTAATTTCAAAGTCCCTTTACTTCCAAACAATCCATGGCTCTAAATATTGTTCCTGCAGTCACACAAGTTATATTTTTCTGTAAGTCAGGTAAGAAACAACATGAAAAGGAACACAAATATGAATCCTCGTAGAATATAAACGCATCCTCTGTTTTTTTTTTTTTTTTTTTTTTTTTTTTTTAAACGCATCCTCTGAATAACCAAGGGACTTGTTTGAAAACATCTACAAACTAGCAGCGTCCTCCGCCCTTAATACCTTATATCCTTCCAGTCGCTCTATCAAAGAACCCAAGTCCAACCATGATGAAAATAAAAAGTCCCTTTCTCCCCCCACAAAAGACATTTAAATGATTACCAGCATTCCCTTCTTATAAATATCACTCAGGGCACGTTTTAAGGCATTAAAGACCACCATAGGTATTATTAGTGGTAAGTTTTAAGCTAATGGTTTTAAAAAACAAATGAATAAAAATGCTCACCCCATTAGTGGTAGAAAATTATAATAGTATTGAATAGAAATTCTCATGTTACTCGATATGAAAAGCACTTAGAAAATTAATGAAAAATTAGAGTAGAGTTACTGGCAATAAGATGCCAGTGGCTGGAGAGAGTGGGGAGAGGCCCAAGACTCGCTCCTTCTTGGGGGCATGGAGGTAAATGCTTCCTGGTGGCCACTGGGACCACGGCTGAGAGAGTGGCGCTGTGGCTACCCTGGCAGGTCGCGGATGGGTAATGCATGGGAGGAGGAAGGTCAGGGTAGGAACAGAAAGTGAACTGATGTGTCCTCTTTGCTGTGCAAACCCTTCAACTCACTAAGACCACTTGTTCTTCAGCAAGCACGCACACAGACCCTGTTTACTAGGTGTCTGCTTCTCTGCTGGATGTGGCCCAGAGACAGTGCCCCATTCACCCTGTTATTCATGCTAGAAACCGAAGTGCCAGCCTCAGTTCTCCGTGGGCGCCCTTCCTTTCCTCTGAAGTCCACTCCACCTTCATCCCCACCTGCCTGCCCTGCTAAGCACACTCACCTCTGGCTTAGATTGCTGCACCAGCCTGCCGACCTCCCTCCCCCCAGTCCTCTTCCCGTTACCATCACTGCCCCAGGGCCATCTTGATAAAATGTAAATCAGGTCATGCCACTCCCCACGTGCAATGGCTCCTCTCTGACTCCAAGGTAAAATTCAAATTCTGTGTCACGTTCTCTCAGCTGGGAACATCTTCCAGCTCCTCTTCAACGGGTGAACTCCTACTCATCCTTGAGGAATGTGGCAGTCCTTCAGTGTGCCATTCCAGGCTTTGATACCAGTTGTCTCCTTGGGTGACAAGACCTCTCTTCCTGGTCCTTTCAGCTAGTCACTGCTTAGGTGGCTCATGCCGTAGTTCAAATGCTATCTCCTCTGGGAAGGCTGGGTCTGTCATGCTCTCTCTGGACTCGGGAAGTTCTTGTGCTGCTCTTCTTCTGGGCTGACTTATCACGGTTTGTCTTCTCTGTCTCCCCTAGGCTGTGAGGCCCTCAGAAACAGCCGCTTTGCTGTTTTTCCTCACTGCGGGAGTCTCCTTTCCAAGCCCACTTCTGCTACTTTTCATGCTACTGTATTCTCTTCCATTATTAAGGCTGCTTTATCTCCTAAATAATTTTAAACATGTCCAATTGTCTTTCGGAGTATTCTACTGCCACAGGGTCTTAAGGGCTTCTTTTTCTTTTTCATTATGTTCTACCTCTTGTCTGTGTCTGTCTGTCTCTGTATCTCTCTGTCTCTGTGTCTCTGTGTCTCTGTCTCTCTCTGTGTCTCTGTCTCCTGTCTCTCTCTTTCTCTCTCTCTCTCTCTCTCTGCCACAGAATTGCTCTCTGGGGGGCTGGGGATTTAGCTCAGCGGCAAAGCGCCTGCCTGGCAAGCGCAAGGTCGTGAGTTCAGTTCCCGGTACCGGAGAAAAACCAAAAAAAAAAAAAAAAAAAGAATTGCTCTCTGGTTTTGGATTGTTTGTTCATCTTCAACTGGTCTTTCTTTTCTCCTGTGGAAGAAAACTCAGGTTATGGTGCCTTCACAGAATGACTGTCTTTTCTTCTTCTGGTCCCACCTGAGTTTGTGTCCCAGCCAGGACTCATCTGCAGCACATCTGGGGGCTGCCCTGACTCTACACTCACTCATGGGAGAGGCTGCGCACCCACTGAGTGGAGGGTGCCTGGGAAGAGGGCAGGTTTCCTTACCATGTACTCAAATGATTGATGGAGGGACTTCTTGTCCCCCTTTCATAAACTCCACAGGACTACACTTCAGAGAACCCAGTTTCATGCCAGTATGTCATTTCATTCCCGTGTGTCATTTCCCACAACTCAAAACATCCTCATTTCCCCATTCAGGGCTTAGGAACCTTCACCTCCAGCGCTGGGGCCCAGATCCTCATCTGCGACCCTGACAGCTCACCATGCACCAGCTCCTGCCCGCTGTTCTGGGTGGGAATTTTCTCCTCATTTCTGGAATCTGGCCAATTTCCCTGAGTCCAGTTGTGTGTAATTTTAGAAATGTGTCTTGTTATATGTTGTCCAGCATCTCTGTATGTGTAGAAGAATGGAGAACCTTTTGCATTAGTTCACTCCATGTGTCCAGGTGTCTACTTCATATCTCCAGCACCTAACAAATGTCTGAATTGATTTTACTAACAAGGGAGCCATGAATGTCTCATCCAAAAAACCATG